TAGTTGTTTGGGTGTACATGCACACAAATGGAACGATTAGGCCCACAATGCACACAGCCATGGTCCCCTGCAGAAACAAAAAGCACCAGCAAGGCCACACAGTGCATGGTGTACTACAGACAACGCCTGAAACAAGGCAGTTGAGCCCATTGGAATACCAAGAATGGCTCTATTTCCTGGTGGATGCAAAATCTGGCTCATAGGGCCTGGCTATGGTGTGCTCTGCAGTTCCATCGTGCACTGCAGATTGCCAGCAGCAACTGCAAATGATGTAACAGTTCTGATTACACTCTTGCATGACAAAGCAGAAATCTGTCTCGCCACATTGTGGGACCCAAGACCACAAGGGGCAATCACACCTCCCGGGGCCCACAATTTCAGTTGGAGATCTGCAGTTCTCTTCATGAACTTGACGACAACATTGGTGTTCCCCTTCTCTTCAAAGGCCCCCCACTCTTCCAGCTGCTTGTGAAGCTCCCCCAGTTCTGGAGATGGGCTGTGGCCAGCAATTGTCCGATGATACAGGGAGTCAAGACATTTGTTGACAAGGGTATCCTTGTGCCTCACCAGCTCATCTGTGCCACAAACAGAAAACATGAATGGAGCCCAACATCAACTGCAGGATGCAAATTCACATTTGGATTTCATTCGTCAAATTATGTCAATTTCCTGCCTTTGAATAGGCTGCTGTTGATTAGATGACATTCAGAGAGAAGTTACAAAGCAGAAGACAGCAACAACTTCCCAGAGAATTTGGACCTTACCATCTGTGAACAAGTCAGCCACAGCACCGCACTGCACATGCGTACTGTTCATGACAGAGTACTGTTGCCCATCATCGGACAAAGCACCTGCCAAGTTTGTTTTGCCTTCCACAAACATGGTGGCTCTTCCATGCACTCCACTGAAGCCCCAAACACACTGGTCTGAGAGAATAAGGCAGTTCAGTTGGCCATTTGCTCCTATGCTGCCGCAAGAGAGGCATTGAGAAGGTGACCTTATTGCAGAGTGAGGGCCCTGTAAAAGCAAACAGCACATCAAAAGTCGAACATGAAGTAGCAAATCTACTTGTGAGTAGGAAATGGGTTCAGCAATTCGCCAATGGTAACTGTCCTAGTTTCTGATTTCCTGATGGTGGCCGTGGACATAGCATTTGAGACGTTAATTCTGACATGGTGAGAAAGTGCCCACCATCACTTTTAAGGTGCAAAGACCATGCTTGCCAGTGTTGACATACTACGCAGTATAATCAAAACACACCTACACCAACAGTCATTGCTGCAGCCTGTCCGCAATGAACAGGAGCAGTTGCTGGCTTCCGAGCTGCACACCCTGACAATGGGCAAGTGGTAAATCCACACAACGAACAAGCTCAATTGGGGGTTCGGCAGTGCAACAGAAAACCAACAGGAACCTTTGGTGGCAAGTTTCTTACCCACTGAACGCCTTCCACAGGTGTGAAATCCAAAAGTGCGGGATTTCCAAGCCCTCCAATGCTGAGTGTGTGCAGAGAGAAGCCACTTTGGCTGGTCGACCCCACAACTAAGTGCTGGGTGTCTGACGTTATCGCCATGCCAATCATCGCCAACTCTGACCTCTCTTTCAGTTGGCTCTTCAGTGCTGGCAGCAGATTGAAGGACCATGTAAGATCTGCCGACTCTGTTGTGTCAACAGGAACCTGGAGCCATGGCACAGAGGATCAACAGGCACAATGTCAAGCAAGCTGCACACGAGCCACGATACTTGCACGGGGCTGACCGGCATTCGCCCATTGGGACTGCAGTGTATTCACACACGTTCTTATTCGATGGGTTGGCAAGTCCCGGTGCAAGCCCGTGGACCTTCACAACTGGCAACGTTCAAAACAGCTTCGTAGCCCGAGAGGGTTGACAGAGATGAAGTGCGACAGGCGACGACGGCCATCGACACTACCACAAACTTCTGCCGCCAGATCGCCCAGGCCAAAGATCAGCCCCCGCATCGAGTCGCCAACCCACCAGCCACGAGTCCAGCGCCTCCTCCGTCAGCACCAGAAGCCTCCACCTCGGAGCGGCCACCGGCAGGATCGCCACCTGCAGCACGGGGCTGCGCGATGCCCGCCAGCCCGCCCCGCCCAGCAGTGACGCGGCCACTCCGCGCAACCACCCGCCATCCCCCCCCTCGCTGGGCGGCAGCACCTGCAGGGCGTCCAGATCCCCCCCGGCGCCGCTGAAGACGACGATCGACCTGTCCTCGCCCGCCACGGCGCACACAAACCCGGGATCCCCCGAGGTCGGTAGTGGCCGGGCCGCCATCGCCCTCACCGCGGGCCTGGCGCCAGATCCCCCGGAAGTCCACAGGCCCAGCGCGCGCTGGGTGACCGGCTCCGCGTGCGGCGAGTATGGGAACACCTGGAACCACGCGTGGAGCACGCCCCTCCGGGTGCACGCAACCACGGTCGCGGGGCCCAGCGCCGAGCCGTTGCCCATCACGGCCGCCAGGGGGCAATCGGCGGTGGAGGCTGGATCGGGCGGGTTAGGATCCAGCGGGGGTAAGCGCAGGATGATGACCTTCGCGACGTGGCCCTCGGCGAAGCGCCAGAAGGCCAGGGCGCCTGGGGACGTCAGCCAGCCGTAGCCGGCGTCGGTGTCCAGGTCGGGCCGCGCGGCCGGGTGGTCGACCAGGAAGGCCTCCGCCGCAGGCCGAGTTCGGCCGGCCGGCGCGGCGTGGCACGCCGACCCGTCGGCCGACTTAGGAGTGGGAACCCCGGGCAGGGGTGACAGAAACACAGCGGAAGCAGCTCCAGATTGGTGCTCAGCGCTCCCACCAGACTCTTCCGACTTCCGAATGTCGAGGTAATGTACGGGCAGGACCGGAGGGAGGACGGGGGCCCTGTGAAATTCATGGGTTTCCAAGCAGGAAGCGGGGTGCTTCCAAAACACGCACAAAATCAAACTCTGCCCAGAGTGCGTCCGCAGCTGATCAACAGCCTCATCCAGCCAACGGACAAGCCGCGTCATTGCTCGCGGACTCTGCCCTTTCCACCTTCTTTCCAATTCCCAAATTGTGAGGGCCGAATTCCCAGTTCCCAACATCCCCTCTTCCCAAAGCTCCCAATTCCCAAATTGCGAATGACCACCCCCTCAGATGCATTGTTGCAGCGGCAGAACGACGCCTGCAAAATATCCTATTGATTGTTGGTAGCAGCGCTCCCTGGACTAGTTGACCCAATAAGCTTAGTTTTGTGGGTGCGCAGTGATACTTGGCTCAGACTTGCGTTTACCAGGTAACTTTGGTTTTGCTTCTGTTCTTTAACACGATTGCGCTGTTCCTGCATCGCATTACGATCTGATCGAAAACACAGCAATGACCAGGACGTGCAGTTGTGTATTGCACGTTCTGACTAGTGAAAGCATGAGCAGCAAAATGTAAACAGCTGTCCAACGGAGCGTGGAGCAACACCACGCTACAATGGATAGATTGGAGCAGTGCCCTGTGTCGATACGCTGCCAACGGCAACCAATGCTAATTTGGGGTTGATTGGTGAGTAAGAATTGCTGACTTGTGTATGTATGATGTCTTTGTTACCACAGCTTCACACTATTAGTGTGTCTTTAAAGACATGGAAGACATTCAATCCCACTTGGAGAGAACCCTCGTATTTGATGTTCACGTCAAAGTAATTCACACCCTAACAGTCCCCTCTACAGTGGAGCTCTTTTCAAGTCAACTACAGTAAAGCATACGCACAGCCTCCACCTACCCACAATTCATCTCCTGTACCCTGCAGTACATCATGAAGGTCACAGTGTTCGTCGTTCATTAGTTTTTTTCTCATATTTTAGAAACCCTGGCTGCCACCAAGGCATGAATAGCAACAACGTCTGCCAGACATACTTAGTCCTGAGCTTGGAGCTGGCCTGCTGGCAACAGTGCAGGGCATGTGGGGATGTATGTAGGGTTGTTCCTCCTGCACCCCCCAGTCGCTGAAACACGATCAGGGACATACGGGCCTCAAGTCCAGTGTCGCAAAATCACCAGCGCAACTGCATCGTAGGGGTGCTGTGCTGGCATCGGGTGGCGGACTTTGCAACTCATGCCTTGTGTAGTGACATTCCCACAGGGCCTGCATGTGTTCAATGCACACTGTTCTCTCACTCCCAAATGGCGTCGCATTCACAGGTCACACCATCTTCGCAGCAAGCTCCGACATGTCCACAAGCTCTCCAGGGGTGCGACGCTGCCATCTGGTGGCTGGCATCCCTCAGTACTCAAAGCCAGCAGAGCATCAAAATGCGGTGAGAAGAAATCCAATGCAGAACTGTGCTTGGCTATCGTCCCACTGGTAACATTGAGCTGGGGGCGACCAGTGGTCCCCTGCTGCACTGCCATGCTTGTCTTGGATCCACAAGGAATATGGTCAAGCGCAACTTGCAAATTTCCGTCTGCCTCCATTCCCCAATATTTTACTGCTGCTGCCTGGGAAGAATTGTCCATCGAACCAACCCTGGCAGGTTCTGATGCACAAAGGCCTTCTGTCTTTTGATGTGTCCGATTCTCATTGCCAGTCCTTTGTGGCACCATATGCCCATATTCCTGGCCGAAGGGTGCTGCAGCGACATGACAACAGTGTGCCATGGCATACACACAATCCTCACCACTGCATTCACTGCATTCACCAGATTTGTCCACTTCCGCATTGTTGCAAAGGCTTGCATTTCCAGTCCTGCTCTCCACCTTTGGGTGGCCCTTAAGGGAAAAATGCCTCGAATCCTTGGAGTTGCACACTGAACAGCTTACAGCCCGAGACTCTCCATACTCATCGCCATCCGAATTGGCAGGTATGCCATCGTTCCCTTGCCCCCCACAGTCTAAAAGGTCAGCACCCCTCTTGGTGCTCGTGTCGAGCATGTTGCGACGCGATGACTCAGATGCTGACATGCTGCACCTTGTGAAATGGTCTTGCAGCTTGCAAAAGAAAGAGACCATACCACTGTGCTCATCATTGCACGAACAATCATGAGATGCTATCTTGCCTCCTTGGCCCTCGCAGCTCTTTTCTTCTGACATATGGAGCTCCTTTCCAGGAGTTGGAATATAGCCAAGCACATGCACTGGCTGTCCATCTTTTCCTATCTTCACAGGAGTTTTTGGAGAGCCCAGCCCATGGAGTGGTGGCTGTGAGGCAGGAATCGGGTGCACCACTGTATACTCTTCATTCTGCACTCGTTTTGGCACCTCCGGCAGCGGACACACTGGATGCAGCAAGGTGGCATGAGCATCCCTTGATATATGTCCCTGCTCTTCTCTGCATTGGTACTGCTCCATGGCCATCCCTTCAATGTGAGGAGAGATTTCCTGCCCCTCTTTTGAGGCAAACAATGCACCCTTGGACTTGACATCTGCTGACAAAGTCTCATCCTGAAATGAACTCTGCTGTGGTGTTAGCACGCCAGGTGCACCATCGGGACTGCAGTCCAAGCCACCATCGCTCACTGTGAAGCCCAGAACTTTGGATTCTGGCTGTTTCAAGGGTGCCTGTGAGGCATTTTCGCACATGTTGTCTACCCCTTGTGCCAGTCGGATCGAAGCAAGGGTTGGTGCTTTTGACATTTCCCTGCTCATGTTGCTGTCCATCCTTTCTCCTGCACTCTCTGCCATTGCCAGCTGCTGCTTCCCTACTTGACCTTCTGCTACAAGCACATTCCCTATGTTGCCAGCGTCCAGGACTTTGTGATCCACATCTTTGTCTGTTGTTGATGACCGATGGCCTCCATCCAGCAACATGTCTCCATCAACTGGTCTGCCAGCAGCAGCACACTCTTTAGAAAATCCTGCCTCCACAGATGATTGTTGCATTCGCCTGCATGGGACGTTCTCTCCGCTTCTGGTGGTTGAGTTTCCTGATTCGTCATCAGCAGCTGCATTGGTGTGCCCACTTGAAAGTATTCCATTTTGCCCAGCTTCACAGCACCTTGCAGGATAGGCGCTGCTCAGACTCTGCTGAGAGCCAGCATGCACCTCTGCATGGCACTCCACATACATCTGTCCAAAGTCGCTACCGCAATGTTCTCCATGATGCACGTCCATGGGTGCCTCATAGTTGCCCTTGCCACTCAATGTCCTGAGCTCCAATGGCTCTTGACCAACCACCTGTAGAATGTCTTCCCTGTCCCCCACCTTGCAAGTGGGGCTGTGCCTTGCCCTTTTCAGCCTGCTGCTCATGCCATGTCCAGCATCATCTTCCACCTCTTTCCATTGGTCAGGTCTCATTCTTGGTGGCGAATCTAGCCACTCCTGCAAATCCTGCAGAGTTCTGAGAAGCATTGGCCCCAACAGAGATTGCTGAGATGTTCCTGACATTTTGTCCTGAGGCATCAGGCCCACACACGAACTGGGTCCTGGAAGATTTTCTTTACCAGGCTGTGTCCACCTGCCGGGACTACAGGTACGCCCTGTCAACGCCCTGTTGAAAGACAGATCTTGCAGGGGCTCCACACGCATCTGTGCAACTGGCACGGTGTGGCCTCTGTCGGAATTTGCTGCCCCAAGGAGCTGCCTCTGTTTGCCAATCAATTCACTGGGCTCAACAGTCCTTTGGTTATCTGGCAAGCTTTCACATGGCTGGGGATCACAGCCTAGTACGGCGTCTGCCGAACTCCAAAGGCCCAAGGAACCACAATAGTCGCTGGGCTCTGCCTTGTCACTGCAGGACGATGGTTGATGTTGCTCCCGCCCATGGAGGGCAGCACACTCCCCTGAGTTCTCCTGCCCCAACAAGTCTTCCAGAGGAGGCAGGATAGCTTCCGTCACTGCACCCTGTGTGCTTGCACATCCAAGAACCCTATTCGCGTCTCCTAAGAAGCTTCCAACATGCGCTTCTGAGTGCTGCTGTTGGCTGGCTCCTGCTCCGGTCTGGCCATCAGCAACAGGCGGCCTTCCTGCATACTGCCCACACACTTGCATCGTCTGACTTGCAAAGGACAGCGCCTCGTCTCCAAACACCGTGGGTAGCTCGATGCCATCAGTGGGGTCTTCGAAACTCAGGAGAAAATCCAAGTCCGAACAAGGGCCATCTCCGATGCGGACATCCACGGCTGTGCAAGGGAGGTCACTCGCCTTTTCGGCTGACGCGCGCTCCATGGGAGACATCATGGGCTGAAGCTTCTCCTGTTGGTCGAAGTCTTTGCGCTGCTGGCCAGCATAAAAATCCCTGGCTACTGTGTCCCAGTTTGCACCCGCCCCGCCCTGAGGACCTGGATGCCTCCGTTGCTGGTTCCAGTCCTCGCCGCTCTCCAGTCGATCCCATCCGTCGCCCCTTTCAGTATCGTGCCTCGCATTCGCAGGGGCCAGCGATTGGAAGACAGGAATCCCCAGAGCAACAGAGCCCTCATGGCCTGGAAGGGGGGCTTGGGGCGCACGGAACGGAGGCCCGGTGCCGCTGTGCACCCGCAAGCTCGTCTGCCGCCTTCCGTCCACCGTTTCCATCAGCACAGCCTCTCCCAAGCCCCGCTGCGCCGATTGCGTACGAGACACCTGGCACTTCGACGTTCTGGATCCCGACGCCCTTACGAAGGGCATCCTCTCGACCCTCTCTCGCGCTCCCTCGTTGAAGGAGCAGCCAGCGAAGACCCCGGAGGCATACGCATGCCGTTCCCCGAACGTGAAGATCTTCGTCCCTTTTGCAGGCTGCCGTGCGGCAGAAGACGGCGGACGCCCGCGGCGCCTTGACCCCGCCTTTCCCGCTGGGGTATCGTCGGTGCCGGGGCATGAGCACTTGACTCCAGAGCCTCGTCTCTCTCGACTTCCCTGTCGCCCGCGGCCACAGGAGGGGTCCCCCTTGGGAACCATGCCCAGCACGCAAACACGCGTTGGCCCTGATTTGCAGTACAACCGGGGGCCAACGCACAGTCCACCGCTGCCTGCACGAGTTGATTGAAGCGAGGCTTTTTGAGCCGCTCCAAACAGGCAGGGGGCGTCGTGGGCTGCAGAATGCTCAGGCGAGCCCCGCTTCTCCTCTTCGTCCAACAAGGCGGTCAAGTCGCACCAAGGGCAGTCGGTTTCACGCCTGACTGGTGGTGAACGCTGCACTGGGGAGCGGCACCGGTGGTTACCAATGTACAGATTGCCAGTTTCTGGCAGATTCTGGCTACCATGGCCGGCAATTCTCCCACCAAATGCAACCCATTACAGTGGCGGCCCCGGTTTAGCGACCTGTGTGGGCTTAGCGACCCCCTGAACGGCTTGTCACTGTTCCCGTAGTACTTTATTTCACTGCGACAGGCCCCAGCGCCCGCGACTTCGGCCCTGCGGCTTCAAGTCGCTGGCATCAAAAGCCAGTATGGGCGTGGTAGGCCAGGTGTAGCGTACCCCTACACCGGCGACCAGGGTGCCCTTTATACCGGCAGCCAGGGTACCATCAACCTGGCAGCAGGGTACCCCCTACACAGGCGGCCATGGTGGCCCCGACACCGGCGGTCATGGTACTCCCTGCACCGGGAGCTTAGGCTACTCCATACACCGGCATCGCTGCCTGGGACGCCTCGCGGGACTTAAACTGCGTCAGGTGTTACGTCCTTCGCGGTGAAGTGTGAATGCTTGCGGTTCCTTGCAACGCGCAAACGGGAGCGGAGAGGTCACGCCTGAATCTCCCTTGCTCTTGCCCGTCGCGGCAAGAGCCGGGCTCGATTACAGAGCGTTGTTATTATAATACAAGCTAGATTCATTCCCTCGGTCATTAAACTCCAGACACTTCTCCATTCTGGCCGTCCCCTGCGGCCTCCCCTCCTAATTTTCCTCATTCGTTCGAATGAAATCCCAACGCCCTGTGAGCCAAACGGCCGCAACACAGGTACCACTGAAGAACTGAAAGTACTGGTGGACCGTAGTGACCCGTCTAGGTTTGGCGACCCTTCAGCCGGCTTGTCACGGGTGTTCGCTAAACCGGGGCCCCACTATAATTTGGTTACTTTTCTTCTGATAAAATGAAAGCCAATTTTGCTTAAGTGAAAAGAGGGACATATCGGTTTGTCTCAGATTGGCTTTGCTTTCCTCAGAAGAAAAGTAAACACTTTATATAATGTACATTACAGTCGTGACTGTAGTGTAATTACAGTGGGGCATTTGCTCTAACAAAGCAATCGATGCAGTATTGTTGCACACATTCGAAGCTACTGCGTGCACATACGACCAATACTATGCCAGGATTAACACTCAGTTTTGAAAATGCACAACTGGTAAATGCACTGATCTGCAATGCGGCAGTACGGGGTATGGCAGCGTGCATGGCGGTGGAATGCAGCAATCGAAGTGCAGTGGAAACTTAAGTGTGGTTGCTCTTGTCTAATATACAGCAGTTGATATCTGGAGTTAAAGCCAAAATTCCGACGATTCTGGTGCCCCCCAATCAAGTGAAGTGCATAGTTTCATTGCCAGACAACATCCGCATCAGGGCTCATGTCGGAAATCTTGCAGACTAAATGTCGAAGTTGGGTTCCCACACGGCCTTTTTCCCAGGAGATTCGTTCCAATTGTTGCAGCGGAGAGCATCTGAAAACCCGCTGGCGGCCTGGTTGTGCCAGTCCTTGATGCCACCGGGACGAAGAGGACCGAGTTGGACGCAGGCCGTTCACCCCTTTCCCTGGCTTTGGTCCCGGCCATAGGCGGAGGAGCTGTGCACAAGATGCTGAAAGCGAGCGACAGCGCAGTCGCAGCCAGTGTCAACACGGTATTCAGGCGGTTAGCGCCGCCGTCCCTGCAGCTCCCAAGGCCGTGCCCGTTCTGCAGGCCGGCGCGGTCGCCCTCCGCCGTCAGCCCGTTCGTGGGCACGCGAGTCCCGCGCGGGCTGCGCCGCGCGGCCCCGTGGCTCGCGCAGTCTCGCGTGCCCCACGCGGTACAGATCCGCGCGGCCATCTTCGGCGTGGGGGCGCCCGAGGCTATCGTGGTGGTGGTCGTCGCCATGCTGGTCTTCGGACCCAGGGGCCTGGCGTCAGCGGCGAAGAGCTTCGGCGCCGCCCTGCGTTCCTTCCAGCCTACCATCCGTGAGCTGGCGGAAGTCTCAACGGACCTAAAGTCCACCCTGGAGCAGGAGATGGGACTGGACGAGCTGAGGGACGACATTCGCGCCATCCGATCGCCGCTCTCCGCCCAGCCGAGCCCACCCGGCGGCCAGGTGGCGGCTCGATCGGAGGAGGGACTGGGTGGGCCGGCCGCGCAGGCGGCGTCGCGAGGATCGGATGCAGGGGAGGACGCGACGGGGGTGGTGGACGCGATGATGGAGCTCGTGGACGCGGACATCGACCAGAAGAGGGCGGATTCTGAGAGGCTGGCGTGGGGCGGCCAGGCACCGGAGGCGGATTCTGGAGAACGGGACTTGTCTGCGATGAGCGTGGCCGAGCTGGAGGCCGAATTGGCAAGGAGAAAGGCGCAGGGCGAGGATGGACAGGACTCGAACTATGCATGATTGAAGAGATTTTGCGTCGGGATTCGCTGGTGTCGTTCCAGCTCGTTTGCTTGGCCGCGCCGGGAACTAGACAGGTAGTGTTTTGCTTGACTGCATGGGAAGCTAGAAAAATATTGAGTGGCACAGGACTGAATGCAGCACAGTGTTTTGTGCGCACTGGCAAACTACATTGTGCCAAATTACAATTTTGAAGTTTCTTTTTTGAATCCCAAGGGAATCGGTGTACACTGCACTTTTGTTAAGGTGCTGGCTACAATCATCTGTCTGGATCGTTTGATTGTCAACAGCAAGTTGAAATGCAGGACCAGTATAATCAGTATAATTCAGATGTTAATGATGTGCCGTAAACCGTCAACTGGTGCAGGGAGCTTTTCAGCGCACCAACTGATCGCATGCATTTTTATGTGAATGCCAGATGTATTTTTTGCCCGTGCTGATCGTGATTTTTCTATTTTGTGTTGTGTGAGATGGGATACGTGACTCCACCTGGGCATGAAAGTTTTAATGGTGTAAAGTCAACAAACAAATACAAAGAAGATGCTCAGTGGCATATTGCATGGCTGGTGATAACAAAGACTGCAGATGCAATCCTCTGAACTCGCTATTTTGTTGCCGAGCTCCTTGAATTCCACAATGTGCGAGTGTGAGTTGGGCAATGTGCAGAGCTCTCTGCAAGTTGCAGGCTCTGGACTGCAATGTTCACACTCTTGTACGAAATAGCGGCTGTCAGTGCTGCCCGATGCTAATGGCCACAAACCATGATATGCAGTTGTTTGGCTGGATTGCTGACTGCCAACATTGGAGGTGAGCCAGTTGTGTGCACAGATTCTGCTGGGCTATGCTCCTCCCTATAAGCCGCAGTTGTGGACTGTAGACTTCAGGGACCCATACTACTCCACAACCTCGTCACCACTGAAAATCGCCATTACCTCTTTCAGTCTCACACCAACAAGCTGTTGCACAGTGCTGATAGCAGAGTTGATCCAATGTGTTGCTTGAACCGTTGGATACCCGGGCAGAACTGCCCTTTCTTGTGTTTGCAGTGTGTGCTGCTAGCCATTGCATGTTCACTGTTCTGGGGAGCAGCTGCATTGGGGCAAAGTTGATTCAGGCTGATGGCCGACAGTGCGCTATCTTATGGGGTCAAATTGAATTTCACTTTCCTGTATTTTCTTTCTATTTTTGAGTAAGATGATGCCCTATGTCCATTCTACTTTCATTGGATATTGTGTCGACTGCTAGACTGTGTGGCCTGCTATTCACATAAAAGTTTGTTTATAGGATGTCTCATGCTCAAACCAGTGAGTTTCTGACTGGGAAGACGTGGGTGGGCGCTGGCAATCACACCGCCAATCCAATGGGTGACAGAAGCCACTCCAGTAGCTTTGGATCTGTTGATCAACTGCATTCGAAGCTGGGGAAAGGGGGGCCCGTACCGTTTGGGCAAAACTTAACAGAGAGCCAGGGCTTGTTCAACCTCCAGGGCCACCTGTTGTGAAGCAGAGTCTATATGCAGCATCTATTGAAGGGAACTTACGACCACCTTTACTTTGCCTTATTCCTCCGCTCCCAACTTGAACAAGGTACTTTAATATTTAGCAGAGGTGAAGCACAAAGTATCGGGATGGCTACATTTACTTGATTCATAAAACATTGGGCAGACGCCAAGGCGCGGTGGTGGGGCTTGATTCTGAAAGTGTGTTACATGTAAAGCGGTATATCAATTGTGTGTGTTAAGCAAATGAAGGATACCACCCAGCAGAATGTGTAAGTAGAATGGCATTTATTGAACGAAATGATGTGCGACAAGAGGCATTGATAGGTCGCTGGTTGGCTTGCAACTGGGGCAGTGGTTCCCCAAAATGAGGTAGCAAATCCCAAACAACGATGACCCCCTTTACGGCCAGGACATCCATTCTATCCTGTTCAGGGCGGGTCACTATTTTTACTGCAACAGTGAAATTGTTCTTTTCTGCGACACGTTTTTTTTGCGACAGTAGTGATAATTGATGCGCGAGATGTTGGCATCAGATTTGCCATATTGTTGCGGCCCCGTCGGCAGCCGTTGGTTTTCGGAAGCGCTAGAGTTGCCCTCCCCTGTAGCAAGGCCGTTGGAGGTTGGCCGGTCTCTTTACCTCGGACAGTGGGCGTATCTGGGGCAGTCGATTGGATTGTCGCCCTGGGGGCCCAATGCTCGATGGGGATCGATCCCCGGGGCCTGCTGTTGGCGAGAGGTGGCGGCGCAACAGTTTGGCGGTTCGTTGGCTCGCGGAAGGCTAGAGAGTGGGCAAGAACGGTTACATGAATTCACTGCATGCGCACACACATATCCACATGCGCGATGCCCAATCGCGGATCTATCGCAGTCACATCACGACAAGACAATACATGTGCATGTCCAAGCACGATGTCACTGTCCCCCATTCACCTACGACCGACCCGTATCCCTCTAGACTTAAGTACTAGCCCCATCCGTCCACAACCCTAAGTATTATAATTTTAGAGGGCCATATCTTCACCAATACTTAATGGATTTGGGCGTTTCCAAAGCCTAGGAGCATCGGGAGCTTCTTAATAAGCCTACCAGTGGGTCAAAAATGAGAGATTACTGATCACAAACTCCAAAAAATGTCAATTAAGCCTACGCCCTAAGCAGCCACGTCACAATACAACCTCCCTTAGGGTAGCTTTCGCCCCTGAAAGCACACTATCCCATATTATTGTCTTCCTTAGGCTTATCCTTCTTGGTCATCTTCTGGAGTTCTCTCACATAGGTGAAATTGCTTGCTGGTATCCAGGAGGCATCGTCGATACTCCACCCTATGCATAACACCAAAAACTCTTTACGCCTTGAACCACTGGGTCTCGCTCATCTTCATTGCAACAACTTCTTGATATCATAAGGTTCATCATCTTCTAACTCAATCTCGGTGCTGTCTGATTCCTGTGGGGTTGACTATATGGACGATCTGAATGATTGAAGCAAACTGGTGTGAAAGATATTATGAATCCTCCACCCTGATGGTAGCTTCAATTCATAGGCCATTGGTCCCACTTGAAGGACCACAAAAAATGGCCATATGAATTGTCGCTTCAGTTTGCGAATAGATGCGTTCTTCAACGGCAAATGCTCTGTACTGAATAGCACCTGTTCCCCACTATGAAACCTCTGTTCTCTGCGCCGTTGATCGGCCTTATGCTTCTGCCTCTGTTGAACCTAATGAACTGATTGCATCGCCATTTTGAAGGTCTTCTTCATTCTGCTGATAAAGACATTGACACTCTCAATGTTCATCTAGTCTACATCTATGATCAGGTTCAGCAGCATCACTGGCTCAAAGCCATAGTTCAGATAAAAGGGTGTGTATATCATGGATGGTGATGCTCTGTTGTTGATCACGAACCCCACCATGGGCAACTATCTCTCTCAATGGGTGACTTCTTGACTGCCATGGATCGTACACCCGAGGACTTCCTCCACTGCCGGTTGGCTGTCTCTGTCTGTCTATCTTTCTTTGGGTGGTGAGCGCTGGACATTCTCAACTTGCTGCCTAAAATCTTTTAAAACTCTTGCCAGAACTTCAACACAAATCTTGATTCTCGATCACTGACTATCGATTTGGGGATCCCATATAATCATCTAATCTAGTCCCAGTAGACACGAGCTGTCTCAGCAGCGGTGATGGTATGCTGGACTGGCAGTAGGTGTAACATCTTGGTAGTTCGGTCCACTACCTTCAGGATCCCATTGTTCTTCCTCTCACTGACCATTAGACTCATGATAAAGTCAAGGCTAATGTCACTCTATTTTTCCTCTGGAAACTGTAGCAGCTGAAGGAGTCCTGCTAGCAACTTGTGGACACTTTTCTCTGATTGGCAGACCTGACATCCCAACATGAAGTCTCTGTAATTTCTTGAGTGTCTTGTGGTTACTAAGATGTCCCGCATACGGTATTGTATGTATCTCCTCCATAGTCTTCCTACCAGTGTCCTCCACATCTGGTACCACCAATCTCCAAGGTTGCCTGTCCTCAGCACTATCCTTCAATTTAATCTTCATAAAACTATGGTTCAGTTAGTAGTCATGATTACCAATTTTGGTGATTCGGCCTTGGGCAAATTTTGAATGACTCAAAGCTTTTGCTCATCTGCTATCTTGTTTGTAGTTGTAAGGGTTGGGCCTTGGGACACTGTACATTATGGCCATGGGATATTGTATAATATAGATGCTGGACATTGTATACTAAGAGCTCTTTAGAAACGCTGTATAATAGGGTATATTAAGGGCGGCTGAGCTGGGCGGTGGTGAAAGGGACAAAGGGGGTGAGTGCCGTATTAGTCAATACGGTGAAGGATGGTGCTGGGGACTGGTTGGTCGGTGAGACGAACGGGCCGGGAAGGGGAATTCAAATTACAAAATGGGCAGGCATGCCAGAATCTGGGTGACTCACCCAATTCTGGCATGACCCTTGGACTGCCTTGGACACGGGTTATATAAACGGGAACATCAGGACACTTCTGTAATACAAAAGTTGCCGCCAAGCTCGTTTCCGATAGAAAACTGACTCGAACGGGTAAACGGGCTAAGTCCCATTCAACCAAAAAGGGCCACCGTCCCTTACAGTAGCCCTCTTTTATAAAGCTCCTTTAGTTTTCCTCCAAAGTGATTCTAGTGCTAGTCACCAATAAAGAATATGAAGAATTGCATCCCCCACCTGCAGCCACCACTGCCCCTCAGGACTATACATTTTAAATAGGGAAAATGACAAAATGGGGTCCTCTATGAGATATCTTGACAAAAGGGGGTCCTCTGTAACAAAAAGGGGTCCTCTACGGGAGTGCATTTGACAAAAGGGGGTCCTTTGACTGCCCCCTGTACATTAGTCGCATTGCTAGACCGGCACCAGACGGGCGCTAGACCGGCGCCAGACCGATGCCATATTAGCATTAGTATGGCATTAGACTGGACCAGACTGGTCCTACTAGGGGCGACCCCTCTG